TCCAGCCCCAACACTCTGTGATTCTGTGATTTGCTCTTGCATTTGCTCAGTACCTGCCCAGGGAGATCCTGCCTCATCCACAGTGAAGATGATGATGGCACCAGACTCCTGGGCATTTGTGAAGGGGTCCCTGCTCAGGAGCACACCAGCCCCTCCAGGCTGCCCTCGGTTGTGCTCGGTGTCACACGCGTGCCCAGGTTTGTGACCAAGGAGAGGCCAAAAAGGGGAAGCAGTGAAGGGGCAGCAGAAATAACCGCGGAGCTGACGCGTGCAGACAGAGAGACACCTGTGAGCGATATTTTTCTTTAATGTTGACAGACTCTGATTTGCAGCTCGGCTGTTACCAGAGCTGGCCAAAAGGCTTTCAGGAGAACACTCTCCATCAGAGGGTCCCTTCATCCACAAGGTCTTGTCCTCCAGGGCTGGAGGAGCCCTTCCAAGCAGGCAGACAAGACTCCCACCCCTTCTCCAGCTCCTGTACCCTCCACAGCAGCGGCCGGGCAGCTCCTCCAGCTCCTCTGTGCGCCCCAAGACCTCAAAGCATCTATTTCAGCCTGAACATACCCAGGAGTCGCCTGTAACCACCCGCTGCCTCCTGACAGGTTTTCTTTCTCACAGCTCCGTCTCCCATCGGAAATCACACGGACTGCTCTGTGCAAACGCTCTTTCTTTTCCTAAGAAAGCCAACGCAAACACAAGCGTTTTGAGGACATTGAAAAAAAAAATCCAACAATATGAGCGGCTTTTGTAACCAGCTCTGTTATCTTCACTGTTAAGCAAACAGCTCTGAGTGAACAGACTCTCATTTCCCCTGTGCCTGTCACACTGCTCCCACCTTTAATGAAATAAGGAAAAAAAAAAAAAGAGGAAAAAATGAGATGTGTTGGAAGAGTTAAGAACTTTACATTTGGGTTTTTTTATCTGAAATCATTAATCTCTTTCTTTCCCTTTTCTTTCAAAGTCGTGGCAGCATTAATAGGGTGACTAGAGCAGAGCAGGGTTCGGTTACAGCATTGGTGTCATCTCCTGCGCCGTTCAGCTGGGAACAAGCCTGGAACATCTCCTGCTCCTCTTCTCCATCACGGACCTTGGGCTCGACCAGCCCCATCCAGAGCCCTGACACAGGACACAACACCTTGTGGAGCCCGGAGCCAGGGACACCCGTTCCTGCCGTGCCCGGGGTCACCAACCCTGCCAAAGGAGAGACCTCCGGAGTCCAGGTGTGTGGTGGTGGCCGCCTTTGAGGCAGCTGCAGGCAGTCGGGCTGCGGGCCCTCAGGCCAGGGAAAAAAGGATGTTCTGCAGAAATGGCTGGATGATCCGCCCCATCTTCTGACTATTGACGTGAACACACCGGACCTTTCACCAAGCAGATGCAGGGTCAGAGCACCCCTGAGGCAGCTGTGGGAGCTGGGCTGCAGAGCACCAGCCTTCAGAAACAGCTCCTTAGTCGCTGACTCCGGTTGTCACCAGGATGAGGATGGGATGTACTGGCCCGAGTGAGCTCCTGAACTCAGGAGGGACAAAAAAGTGCCTAGAGTCCCGTGCCTCAGTGAGGTGTGTGTAGGTATGATGCAGGGAGGAGGAGCAAGCATTTGTCTCAGCATCCCGCCCAGGAGAATGTGAAGGAAAGGTCTCTGGGGTCTGGTGCATCCACTCCTCTTCCTCACCCACGGTGGAAGCTGCTGTGGCAGTTTTGAAGGATACCAGTATTTTGGGGCCCCCAGGAGCCACCAGAACCAGAGGATCTCACGCAGCGACAGCCGTGGGGCCTCTTCACCAAGGCAGTGCTGTGCAGGCAGCAGGGTCCCGCGGAGGACATCTGAGACCTGTCGAAGCCGTCTCCGCTCTGGGGCCCTGAGTAAGCGTCAGGAGAGTCAGCAGCAACCCACAGCGCAGTGTTTGCCGTGGGCTTCAGAAGGTTTGGCATTCCACAGCTGAGCCAGGACGGACATCAGGACCCTGCTGTCAGGATGAGAAGACAGACTGGTCCCACGGGAGCCCATCGTGCCACCAAGTCAACATGATGCAGAGCGCTGGACAAAAGGACCTTTGGTGATGGGAGCTGGGCAGATGGGAGCGTTCCTGTGACTTTTCCATGGGACTGAGATGCTCCAGCCCTGCGGAAAGAGCCCGTTCCTGCTGTAGTCCAGGCTGAGGAACCAGAAGGCTCCTGACAGGACCATGGCTGCTGGAGCCAGCATCTCCACCCTCCTCCATATTATAATGATGCAAAAGAGCCCTCAAAGGCGGTGCAGAGCATGCTGACCTTCCAGCTCTGGCAAGCTTCCCCCTGAGGTGTCCCCACAGTGCCTGGGGGACACGTTAGCACTGACCTCGTCGCTCCTGAGGTTCACCCAGCAGAGGCAGCAGAAGAGTTTGCACCCACAGGGAGCGGAAGGGAAGGGAGAGGTGGGGAAAGGGGCTCTCCTTGCTGCTCAATTCAGCAATGAAGTTAATCTCAGACTGTCCATGGACGCACAGAACTGTCCTTGCTGCTCCTCCAGCAATACATAGTGCTCATTCTTCACGTGCAGCTCCCAGCTACCTGGGGCAGACTGCCACTGACTCCAGGCATAAAAAGGATTCATTGATGCAGCTGGTTCATACACCCATGAGAGGAGCAAGAAGAAGTTCAGCGAAGCTACTTTGATGTTGAAGGACAGCTCAGATGTACAGCTACAGAGCAGCGGGGGATCAGCCAGACGCTGGGGCAGAAAAGGATCCTGAGGGACAATGTACATCATGCCAAGCACTGCTCAAAAGCTCGGTGCTCCTGCAAAGACAGAGAGCATCCTCGTGGAATGTGAAGGACATAGAAGACCATCATCCTGATCTAGTGGGAGATGTCCCTGCCCATGCCAGGGGGATGGAACTAGATGATCTTTAAGGTCCCTTCCAACCCTGAGAGTTCTATGATTCCATGATCCCTTTGTACTCCTCTCTAGAGCCTTCAATCCAGTTTGGGACATCACGGTTTCAGGGTTTAAACATGGACAAATAAACCCTTTCCCAGCCCCACAGGGCTCTTCAGTGTGTAAACAGCTTCAGCAGGGGGCGCCAGGGTCCCTCAGCGCTGCGAGGCAGGAGGACGGGCCATCCCCCACGCCATGGCAAACAGCACTTTGCCCATCCAGCTGTGGTTCCTGCGCCAGGCTCCGGTCTGACGACCGAAGAGGTGTTCACGGTCTGGGTGCTGAGATAACAGGTGAAGGAACAAACAGAAAGCAAGCTGCGGGACAGCAAACAAAGCCAGCAGCGGTAGGTGATGGTAAATCAGGAGGAGTAAGAGCCCTGATGCTCCTCAGCTGGACTCTGCCCAGTCTCTGCTGCACGGACCACGCAGGGGAAGCATCTCCAGGAGAAACCAGCAGCAATGAAGGGGCTGATGACCCAAGCCCACACTTCAGAGATCCCACCACCCTCAGCTTCCCTTGAACCTCTTGGCCAAACCAGTTGCTCCAGGGCCAGAAGTGATGCAGTGGCTGGTGCTCCTTCGGTCGCGTCCCCCCTCCCTCCGGCAGCACGCGCTCGGCCCCTGCAACCCGCCCCAGGGCAGAGAAGGCGGACGACACGCTCGCGGATCTGCCGCGTCCGCACCCCATACACGATGGGGTTGAGCATCGGCGGCACCACGACGTAGAGGTTGGCCAGGAGGATGTGAACGTGACTCGGGATCTGGTGGCCAAACCGATGCGTGAGGAAGGAGAAAAAAGCGGGCACGTAGAACATGAGGATCACGCAGAGGTGGGAGCCGCAGGTGCTCAGGGTTTTGAGACGAGCCTCCCGGGACGGGAGCCGAAAGACCGTCCTGAGGATCAGAGCGTAAGAGACAGCGATGAGCACGACGTCCAGGCCGGAGGAGAGAAGAGCCGTGGTGAGCCCGTACCAGACGTTGGCTCTGATGTCGGCGCAGGCCAGGCGGGCGATGCCCATGTGCTCGCAGTACGTGTGGGGCATGACGTTGTGCCCACAGTACGGCAGCCGCTTGAGGAGGGAGGTGGGCGGGGACAGGATGGAGCACGGCTATCTTCCCGATCACCGAGGGCGTTAAGGTGGAAGAGTATCGCAGCGGGATGCAGACAGCCACGTAGCGGTCGAACGCCATGGCCAGCAGGACGGAGGATTCCACGATGAAGCTGAAATGGGTGAAGAACATCTGGGTGATGCAGGCGTCGAAGGAAATTTCCCTGGCGCTGAACCAGAAGATCGCCAGCATCTTGGGCACCGTCGTGGTCGAAAGCAGGAGGTCAGAAACGGCCAGCATAGCGAGGAAGAGGTACATGGGCTTGCTCCTGTCCGTGGTGATGACGAAGAGGACGACGGAGTTGCTGAACACAGCAGCGATGTACATCAGGCAGAAGGGGACGGAGATCCAGATCTGGGACTCCTCCATGCCCGGGATGCCCGTCAGGACGAAGGTGATGGGATCGAAGCTGCTCTCGTTGAGCTCGTACATGGTGCGTCCGTGCCTCAGCCTGACTCTGCTCTGTGCAGGGAGGAGAAGGGATGAAGGACACCCAGTGAGGCTGGTGTTAGCCCCTGCCCCCACACAATCCTCTTCTATCTCTGCTTTACCCACTGCCGCAAAAAAACCTTGTAAAAGTCATCCTCACTCACTTTGTCAGAGGGCTCTGTACCTGTGTGCCAGGTCTCTGTCAGGACCGTGTGTTCCTTCATGGAAATCAAACAACACAACGCCTGTCCAGCTCCGTGACCAGCTGGTTTCTGAGAGCTCCTTGCACAAACTCTTACGACAAGAAGGAAAACTACCCCGACACTCACAAGTGTCTGGGACATCCAACCCGGCCTCTGAGGGTTGTGACCACCCCCGAAGCTTTTGCTGGACATGTCACTCCCTGTATTTCCAACAGTATAAATACGTTCACCCATTCGCAAACTGCCAAGTGCTTTGTGTCCCTCTTCCCCATCCCGCCAGGATTTCAGAGACTCAAACCCTGGCAAACCCTGGCAAACCCCAAGGGGGGAGAGGCTAGACTCCCACCATGCTCAGGCTTCTTGAGCGACCTGGAGCCACCCTCCTACCCAGCAAATCCCTGTCTCTTCCTTCACGTCTTTCCCTCTCCTTCGTGAAGAGGGCAAAGGCACGGTGGGCTGCACAGCATCTTCGCTGGACAAAGCCCAAAGGTGACAAGTGCTCCTGGGGCAGACAAGTCCCCGTAACACTCTGGAGGGATACCCTGGGAGCAGACTTCTGCACGAGTGCTCAGCCCACGTGGGACCTTGCAGCCTCCAGCAAAACCTCCTGCAGCTTCCCCAGGTCCCAGGGTGCCAGGACAGCCTGAGCACAGGGCACAGCCCCATGAGAGATGAGCACAGCCCCACAAAGAGTTCAGAGCGAGCCCCACAAAGGGCTTTTAGCACAGTCCCGTGAAGGACCGGCTAGCCTGAGGGTGTTTTTGCAGAACAAGCCAAGCCTGCAGAGTCCTCCGTGGACCCTTTGCCACGAGAAGGGCTTTGAGGAGAAGGAATGCCTCAGGTTTTATCCGCTTCCCCGCATTTTGCTTGTTTACAGCCCCACCCCATGTGTGCTCTGTCATACAGGAGAAAAAGCCAAGGCCAGAGTTGGGATGCAAGAAAATTAGTTTGATTTGGACCGAAGGCAAAGCTCCGTTCTTGACCCCGCTTGCAGCCTTACTTTTATTGTGAGCTGCAGGTATCGAAGTGCAAGAGGTGTTTGCATTTCTAAGCATTCTGATTAAGGAGGATTCTTGTCCTCTCTGAACCTGAAGTCCACTGAAGACATCGATCAGCACAGAAAGGGTCTGCAGCTCACCACAAGTATTTATCCAAATGTCTCTTCCACTCTTAAAACACGTGATGCAAGAGGTGAATACAGACAAGCTGGATCTATTACTGCAAATTAAATCAGCCTGGGAACGTCCCCAGACTGCCGACGCCGACGCCTGACTGCGTGCGGTTTGCAAAGCAACACTTCACTCCTCCAGCTCTCGCTGATAAGGGAATATATTTCCCTCACACGCTGCTTTACTTCCTCTCCTTTTCCCACCAGAAAGCGTCCCCCCCAACCCCAGCGTTTGGTGTGAAGTGACTCACCAGGGGCCAGCCCCGAAGAGGAGAGCGGGACCTGGGGGGAGCGCGGGTCCCCGTCCCTCCGCTGCTAATCCTGCCCCTCCTGCATCCCAGGATCAACGGCAGCCCCACCGGTGTGTGGAAGTTTAAATTGCAGGTGCATTAAAGATTAACAGCGGTTAACACTCAGAGGTGAGGCAGGATATTTCCTGCTTGCCCATCATTTGCATTGCAAGTGTTTCACTCTGTCCCTTCACCCGAGAGGGCTGACGGGGAGCGGGGCTGGGGGCTCCCGAGGAGCATCTCCCCTCTCCAGGAGAGGTTTATCCATCACAGGGTGAAAACTGCCCCTTTCATCAGTGAATCCTCCCAGAACAGGGCTCCTGTCCCTCTGCGGGAGGGTCTCTCCGCCGCCCGCCCCAGCCCGTGGTCAATGGTCGACTCCAAAACGAAGCCCGTGAGCGCAGACGGGGAAGGCTGCGGGCATTTCTAGTCTGCTGGTCCGAACCGGCATCAGCCGGCGGAAAAGCAATGCCACAGCTGCATTATTTATGACATGCTGGTATAACAAAGGGATCTTTAAAGTACTGATGGTGGCAAAAATAAATTAAAAAAATAACCAAACCAAACCTGAAACAAGAGCTCTCTCTGTTCAAAAGATGCAAAAAGTGAATTAAAAGGTGATCTGAAAATGTCTGTAACCAACTTGTTGGAGATCCATCAATGCAGCAGAAAAAAGAGTGTCTGAATACACAGAACTGTATGAATGAATTTATTTTTCTTTCATCCCAGGACCAAATCAAAATGATTGAAAGTATGAATGAAGTATTGAATTAATTTTTTGTTGTTGCTGTTCATCCCAAGACCAAATCAAAATGATTGAAAGTAATTGCGCTTGTTCTGAGGAAAGAAAGGAACGTGAATTCTGAATCACTTGCCCCGCAGTGGCACGTTCATCGTCCAGCGCTTTCTTTGGGCGCTGTCGTGCCCCAGGCTGCGGGCAGACAGAAGAGAGGCGCCCCACTGGGGTTTTAGCAGGGGGGTCACCTCCCTCCACCAAACGTCCCCACGCAGGGGTGCCCGACCAGGGCTGAGCCCCAGGAGCTCCCTCACAGCGACGTTTGCGTTTCAGTCCCACGAGCTGCAGATGAACTGTTCTCCTGTGCTGCTAACCCAGGAAAAACCAATTGCACAAGAAGAATATGCACGTCCCCTCTACTTCACTGATAATTGTTTTGTCTGCATTTCCCTCGTCTGGCTCAGTTCTATAAATCAGCAGTTCGTGGCGTTTATTGAACACAGGAGCCTCCACACTAGAGCAGTAGCTGGAGCGATTGACTTGTTTTTCCGGCAGCCCGGTGGTTTGCTCACTGGGAACCATTGCACAAGTTCTCCATGTCAACATTCATCTATAATTTACTGGGAGGAAGGAGGAAAAAAAAAAAAAAAAGAAAAAGAGGAATGAATATTTAAAAAAAACAGGACAAAACCTCGAGGAGGGTTTGTGCACCAGAAAAACTCCCCGTTTTCCACCAGCCGGTCTGGCGCGTGTTCGCCCGACAGCGCCTCATGTACTGGACCTGCAGGAGCCCACACAGAAAGTTCATCTTATCAGAGTCTGGCTTTTAATTTCCTTTTAATTTCTCTTGCTGTGGTTTCTAAGGAAGGGAGCTGGCCCTAAGCCTTTTCATACCGA